GGGTTCACATGGACCGAAGCTAGCGGGGAGGCGTTTGAGAAATTAAAAGAAGCTATGACAACAACGCCAGTACTTGCCATGCCCAGATTTGATGTCTTGTTCGAGGTACATACCGATGCGAGTGACATTGGAATTGGGGCTGTGTTAGTGCAAGAGGGGCGACCCCTAGCCTATCTCAGTAAAGCGCTGGGCACTACTCGACTGGGTCTGTCAGTGTACGTGAAAGAGATGCTAGCGGTTGTCGAGGCTGTACGGTGCTGGAGGCCTTATTTATTAGGCCAACGTTTTCAAATAGTTACCGATCAACAACCGCTTAAGCACCTATTGGAGCAAAGGATTGTTACCCTCGAGCAACAGAAATTCGTGTCTAAACTTATGGGGTTTGACTTCGAGATAATCTATCGACCAGGTCGACAAAACGCAGTAGCCGACGCGCTATCCCGACGAACGGACGTTGGCCGAGTTAAGTGGGATCACTGGACCTACTTGGGCCATTTGGGAGGAGATCCGGAAGGCGCAAGTAGAGGATACCCATTGCCAGAAGCTGCGCCAATCGATAGAAGCGGGTAAGACAACTGCTATCGACTACGAGCTGCACAATGATCTACTTCTACACCGAGGTCGAGTCTATGTCCCCGACAGTGGGCGGTTGCGCGAGCAGATTTTGCAGCACTTCCATGACTTTAAGGTTGGAGGCCACTCGGGTATTTATCGCACGTGGATGAGGATAGCCAACACTTTCTTCTGGCCGGGACAACAAGGTACCATCCGGGACTACATAGCACGATGCGACAATTGTCAGCGTACTAAGTCCGACTTGCGACGGCCAAGTGGGCTATTGCAACCCTTACCAGTACCCGAGGCAATTTGAGAAGACATCACCATGGATTTCATCGAGGGGCTACCAAATTCTAATGGATTTGACGGTGTTATTGTTGTGGTGGATCGTCTCACGAAGTACGCTCACTTCATACCCATTACCCATCCTTACACCACAAAATCGATTTCCAGGTTATTCGTGGAGTATGTGATGAAACTGCATGGGGCACCTCGATCTATCGTCTCTGACCGAGACCAGATTTTTATGAGCAGTTTTTGGTCTGAATTTTTTAAGCTTCAGTGGACCAAGTTATCTATTAGCTCAGCATACCACCCCCAGACAGATGGGCAAACTGAGGTAACTAACCGGATACTCGAGCAGTACTTAAGGTGCTATGTCCATCAATTTCCGAGGAGGTGGGAAAACTTCTTGCCATGGGCTGAGTATTGGTACAACACCACTTACCACGAGTCGACCAAGATGACGCCATTCGAGTTAGTATATGGGCGAAAACCACCAACCCTGATCAATTATTCCGAAGGGAACACAGTCAACGATGAGGTTGGTCGTGAACTAGAGGAACGAGATTTGATGTTACGTGAGCTGAAAAGAAATCTCGAAGGCTCAATCAATCGAACCAAAGCCTCCGCAGACGGAAAAAGGCGAGAGGAAAATTTTGCACCAGGCGAATATGTCTACTTGAAGCTACGACCATTCAGCAGGCGAATATGTCTACTTGAAGCTACGACCATTCAGACAGCGTACGACAGCGCAAAGGGCCGCGACTAAGTTGGGAGTCCGCTACTATGGGCCCTATCAGATTCTAAAGCGCATTGGTCAAGTAGCTTATCGCCTTGAGTTACCAGAAAACTCACAAATTCATCCAGTTATCCATATCTCGCAACTCAAGAGGAGTTTAGGAGAAGCGCAGAAGTACTGTGAGGAGTTGCCAACCACCGCAGCTGACGGCAGGGCTATCATACGCCCCAGACAGGCCATTGAGTACCGCAAGGTAAAAAAAGCGGGGCGTTATCGTTGGGAGGTGCTTGTTGACTGGGAAGAGTTGCCGCCTGAAGAAGCCACGTGGGAGGACCTTGATGAGATACGTTATCAATTCCCGAACTTTATCCTTGAGGACAAGGAAACACTTGAAGGGGACGGGAATGATGCGGAAGTGGCTAGGCAGCTCAAGAACGTGGCTAGCCGGGCCTATCACGCACGCAAGAGGCAAGCACGAGCAACGGCAGAAGTAC